CGACATTAAGTCATGCCTTCAGTAAAAACACCTTACTAAAACCCAGGACCACTATATTCTAGCAATCGCTCACACCAAAACGAGCCAAACTGGTCCACAAGTAGAGATTAAATAATATTCTACCGCTACCAAATGGTGTCCAATCCACATTCTGGATAAACTAGTAAAAACAAAATTTTCTACCAACCCTGAATCTCCACTATAAGCCATTCAAGGGAAACCCCTAACCACCAAACAGTTCATGCTTTACATTCGTACATTACTACTCCGGCTATTCTCAGGCCATTCTTTCCGTATTGGAGCAGCCACAGCAGCCTCCGGTAATCACGTACCAACACATATCATTAAAAATATGGGTCGGTGGAAATCATCCGCGTACAATAGATATATCCCTAATCCAGAGAAGGAATTAAGATCAGCTTCCGTGAAATGCCTAAGTAATGTATTGCTTACTAAACACGTCTGACTAATAAGAATCGTTTCTTATATTTTTGCCCTCTTTTACAGGTCTAACCTCACGTCAGTTTCAGCACACCTCAACTGACTTTGCTCTTACTAAATGTTCTTCATATCATATCATATCATACGTCCTCTAAATGTGCCGTACACAAATAAATATATATATATATATATATACATACATACATACACATATACACATATATTTTAATTCTACACATAAATATAGATAACCCAGGCTGAAAGTCCAGAGAATTCAATTTGCTAGCACTATATTTAACCCTGTAACTTTCCAAGACACCATAAAACCTGTACATGAGGGGTACTGTTTTACTCTGGAGATTTTGCTGAACACAAATATTAAAGTTTCAAAACAGTAAAATGTATTACAATGATGATATCATCAGTTAAAGTGAATTTTTATGCATTTTTCACACACAAACGCCACTTACACTGACAATATAATTCTTGTGATACGTTTTATGGTTTGAAACAGTAATATTTGTGTTCAGCCTGAGTGTCCAGGAGGTGGGAGGGTCTGGGAGGGAGGGTGTGCTGGAGATTGGCCGGGATGTGTCAGCTGACCGAAGCTTGCCGCGAATGGTTCGTGGCGAACCGTGGCGAGCCGTTCGTGGGAAGTTCGCCAACGGTTTGCGACATCCCTACCCCTCATGTACAGGTTTCCTGAGTATAACAGTACCCCTCATGTACAGGTTTATGGTGTTTTCAAAAGTTACAGAGTCAAATATAAGGCTTGTGTTTCACAAACCACTTAGTCACAAACACTGGCCAAAATTGGCGATCAAATTCGTTTTTTGCATTTTTAGCACACAAACAAATATTAATGCTAAATTTGGCCAGTGTTTGTGACTAAGTGGCTACTAAAAAAGACTGGACATACCCCATCTGCGATACCTTGGGTTATCTACTATTGCAAATGGTATGCTGTCATGTGGGTAATTCTCATTCCTGGGCTACCATATGTTCTCAAAGGCAACGTAACCAATCTGGCGAATTTCATTGTGAAAAAACTGGAAAATGTAACATGCTCTATTTGACCCTGTAACTTCCCAAAACACCATACAACCTGTACATAGGGGGTACTGTTTTACATGTGAGACATTGATGAATACAAATATGTGTATTTTATTGCAGTAAAAGCAAACAGTATTCTGACATTCACAGTTAATAAATAAAAAAATAACAAACTTTTTTAATTTCTCACTTTTTTATATTTTATTCATATTAAATTATGTTTCATAGCTAATTATTTGATGTTTAATGAAAGCCTTATTTCTCCTGAATAAAATGATATATGATAAGTGTGGGTGCACTTAATATGAAAGAGGTGAATTACGGTTGAACAGACATATAGTCAAATTTCAAGTTTTGATTACGTTTTATTTTGATCAAAACATGTACATTTGGCTCAGTCCTTAAGGGGTTAAAATGTCCAATGTTGATATCTGACACAAAGTGAGATGGGTAACTGGGCTGCACAGCATCATATGCTTTACATGGTGTGAGGAGGCTGTAGTTGTACTTACACTCAGATTAATAAAAAAAACAAAAACTGAGACAGCTTTTTACTTAACAGGACATTATAGGCACCCAGACCACTTCATCTAAATGAGCTGACATTCTGCAGGAATAGCAATGTTTTAATTGTAGGGTTTAAGTACCTTCTGACGAAACAGCAGAGTAAAACTCAGAGACTATCTGATTGGCGCAGCACAGCATTTTTGCGCTCCTGCTCACTAGCCTTCCAATGCTTTTCTTGATCTCAGCCAAGGAGGCAGGGCCAGCTGCAGAGACAAACGCTGTGTGGGATAAAAGCTAAATAAAACTACTTTTTTTTCTCCATGCAAGTGGGGACCGATCACCTAATGGTCACCAGGGAACTATTGCTTTAAGTTTTTACGAGGTGGGAGTATTCCTTTATTTATTCAAAAAACAACTGGAACGGGACCATATTTCCCATTAGGCAGAGTAGACTCCTGCCTACAGGCAGCTTTTCTGTAGGGGGAGCTATTAACATTACTTATAATGTGCCTTTTTGGTACTTAGGTGGGCTGTTGTGGAGAGATAAGAACCTTGGAATTGTCCTCTGTAGGCCGGTCAGCTGCCTATGCTTGATAGCAGAAGTGCAGGGACATTTATAGAGGGTGTAAAACACAGTGCTGTCCCAGCTCATCCAGGGTCTGTGTGTGGACCTAAAGAGGATCCTACCAGCCCACTACAAACCTCTTACACAGGAAATGCTTAGCATGAGGAAAAAAGGAATCTCTGAGTGATGCACACTGTATAACAGCTCCTGCAACTCTATCATAGGGGGGTGAGTACTTTCCAAATAATATTTCAAACTCTCTTCCCTATACAATAAGCCCCCTTTTCCCCTTACCCTACAGTTAACCACTCCAAAAATCTAAACAATCAATTCCTCTCTCAGGATCTGTTCTTCATTTTTCCTATCATATCTAGTTTTCTTTAAAATATGAGGCAAAGTAGGGACTACTTTGTCCTATGTATTTTTCATATGCTTGCTCAGCTTTCACCCACTTCATGTGGTCAAGTAAATTTCCCCACAATACTCATCCTTTCCTCCATGATTTTGCAATGCTTCCTTTTACTATTTCTGAACGTCCTGCCATATAGACTACTGAAACTACTGAATTTCATCCTAACAGAATGAGTATAGTTTGTCCATTCAGGTTAGGATGACATTCGGTACTTTCTGTTTGGATTGAAATTTCATTTGAATGAATTAAATTCAAGTCCTATTTATTCCTGCGGCTGCATCTTGGAGCCGCTTACTAGATAGCACCCTAATACACTGAGCATTAGGGAGCTATCTACTGAACTTTACACTGAACTTTAAAAATTACTTAGTACTGGTGAATAAGGGAGGTTTTTTTTTAATTTGTATTCTTTATTTGTATTTTGGCAGCAAACAATAAAATCGACAATGTCAAGTAGGCCACATTTTGAGATAGTTAGTAATGTGTCAATATCCAGTAATAAGAAAAAGTAATTTTAAATCAATACATAAATAAAATGTCATAGATGTCATAGATGCAGTGGACACGGTTCTCATGACGTAGAGAGGCTTCCCCTCGGGTCGTTCTCCTTTCCCCGTGTCCCCACATGCCATTCAGGTTAGGATGACATTCGGTACTTTCTGTTCAGATCGAAATTTCATTTGAATGAATTAAATTCCAATCCTATTTATTCTCATGCACTCTGTTGCCCACTGTATCGCTGCTCTATGTCACATGTTCAGTTCATTTTCCGTCCTGCCTGTCCATTCCCCCCCACATCTACTGATTGTCCTCTAACCGGGAGTTGATTGATCCCTCTCTGGTACCCCATCTGTCTTGTGTGCCCTACATGCCTGGCTCGCATGTGGGTGGCAGTTACGAGTTTAATCCAGTGCCCTGCAAGGGATTTTTGTGGCGGTCTTGAGCTGCCAAGTGAGGGGTGTCCCGGGTGTAACCCTTAACTAACCGGTATTATGCTCCTTAGAGTGCTTGGTTTACTCTATGTATGTGTTCGTCCGTATGCCCTTGAGTCAGTCCACTATAAAGATGGTTAGGTGTGCCTCTCTAATGAAAGTCCATCCCCTTTTTACCCGGGGTCTGCTGTGTTCCTCCCGTCCCCCCTACCCTTCCTACCATAGTTATTCACTTGCTCCGCCAGTCACTCTTTGCGATGCAGGGCAGGGCCCTGTGCAGAAGCTAGTGGGTGTGAAGTATCTGTCACTGAGAGGCTAATCTTGGCATATCAATCGGCCTGCTTTTGGATGTTTAGTTAAATAGAACAAGAAAATAAAAGTTAGAGAACAACAACTGATAAGATGAAAAGAAAACATTATAAAGGTTGCAAGATTAGCGTGGGCCAATATTACGCATAGCCTCAACCATAATAGATGTGTGGTAAACATTCTCTTGCTCTATCAGTTCTGTGGGGGTTTTTGCTTTTGCAGATTTCCCACTTCTTCTCCGCCCGACGCTGCTCTCCTGCTCCTCTTCCCTGCCTGTAGCGTTCAGTGTCTTACTGCTCCCCTGCTCCGGAGGTAAGAGCTGTAGTAGCTGTAGGTCATGCAAGAATCTTGTGGGGTCTTTCTCTGCTGACAGCAATAGGACTGTGTCTTTGTGAGGCACGACCAGAGTGCCCGCCGCCCCCCAGCGATCTCTAATGCCACGGTCTCTTAACTGGCGGGTAATAGGCATGAATTTCCACCGCTCCATCAGTCGTGAACAGGAGGTCATCAAATACTCGTATTTGGTGGTTATCCACGTTGGTGGTGGGAGTTTTTCTCGATTGGATCCTGAAAGCCGCCATTATCGACCATGTTTCGCCATCTCTCTTCACACCCATGGTCGTTGCCGCTCTGTTCGAGAACTCCAGCAAAGCTTCTGGGCCTACATCTTGAGGGGCTCCTCGGATGCGCCCGTTTCTCTTTCGATGGCGTTTTTCCATTGTTGTGACCATGCGGGTGAGTCTTTGGAGTTGGAGGGACAGTGATTCCACCTGTGTTCTAGTCTCGGTAAGTAACGAGTTTCTGTTCTCTTCCTGGGTTTCTACTCCGCCAAGGCGCGTCGTGATGCCTGCCATCTCTGCTTGCACTCCAGCCAGGTCAGATTTCCATACTTCCCGCAGATCCAGCAACAGCCTTTTAATGTCGCCCTTTGTGGAGGGTGAGTCATCCTAGTCTTCTGGCCGGTACACTGCGGTGGTGGAGGGTGTAGTCGGGTGGTTCTCGTCCTCCATAGATGTGTCTGATTCACTGGCGCTTTGAGGCCTACCAGGCGCCATTTCAGGCTGTGGTGGCTGTTGTGGCCTTTCGAAGGATCGCCTGATATCGGGCAGGTAGGAGCCCTCTGGGTGGGTAAGTCTTTTGTTTTTTCGCGCCATCACAGAGGGGTTTCAGCGCTGGTCATAGCTTAGTTTTGCGGTCTCAGTGCTGTGATTTTGTGGCAATTTAGTATGTTTTTAAATATTGTGAGCAGGAGCTCCACATAAACAGGTCTTGTTAGCTGCTCGGCTAGCCACGCCCCCCGAATAAGGGAGTTTTAAATCTCCCTTCTGTCCCTACTCGCTTTACTGCGAGTAGGGGTATGTATACTAAACAGTGATCAACCTGTGGCTATTCATTGTTGGAAAGAAAGAAAGCCAAAAGTAACAAGAGGTGGGAGACCTATTGTTCCTCCTGGCCCCACCCATGAGTGGCAGGTGGGGGCCCTAAGTAACAAAAGAGGGGGGGACCTATTGTCTCCCCCCGATCCCCAACCATGAGCTTACCAATAAGAGTGTTCTGGTAGATACATTTTGAGCCTTGCCTGATTGGTTACTTGCAAGGCACAAAATTTACCTATCAGAACACTCTTCTTGACTTTATAAGCCTTTTCCCGCCCTGCGGAGCTCAGTCTGTGCAATGCCCTCGCTGGGTGAAAATTGATTATATTTTTTAGTGACTTTTTTTTTTTTTTTTTTTTTTTTTTTTTTTTTGGGGGGGGTTTTTTTTTTTTTTTTTTTTACATTTTTTTCGACGGGAATTATGGATTTTATTTGGCCTTTTTTGGGGTTAAAAAAGAAGGTTTAAGAAAAAAGAAGACATCTAACGGTAAGTATGATTTTTTTTATTTACATGTATTTAGTCCCCCCCCCCCGGCCTCCCCTTACTATTTTCAGGGTGAGGTGAGGTAGGGTTTAATGTTATTGGGGAGGGGGTGACTAGGGGCTTGAGGACCTCTAGTCACCTGTGGGGGGCGTAGTGTTTACATTTAGTCCCCACCCATCGCCAATGAGTGGGGGGTGGAAGGGACACAATAGGTGCATGGTAGGGCTGGGGGAGGACACTATTTATTATTATTTTAAAGGAACATTATAGCATTAGGAAAACAAACGTCTTCATAATGTTATGGTGTCTTACTATCTATGTAGATATCAGGGTTTCCCTCTGTGAGAAGTAAAAAAAGAAATTTAACTTATCTGTCAGCCCTGACTGCACTAGCCTCTTTGATGCTCCCTATACTTTCTTTCTCAAGATTGATCATCTCAGCCAATCCAACTCTTGATTGAGCTTCCTCACAGGGAAAGTGCCTCTAGTGTTTATCAAGACCACACTAGTGGTATGATAGACCCTACAATAAAATCATTGTATTTTGCATTACATGGTTAAAAACAGCAAGGCCATTGCACACAGACCCCACGACATTGAGATGAAGTGTCCTTCACCTAGCTCAGGGGTTCAAAACCCAGTCCTCAGGACCCCCTACCAGTCCAGGATTTGGGGATTACCTGGGTGTGTCTCAGGTGTTTAGAAAAAGGGGAAAAAAACACCTTAGACTCTAAGGTGTTTTTTTTTTCTTTTTCTATACACCTTAGACACACCCAGGTAATCCCTAAACCCTGGACTGGTAAGGGGTCCTGTGGACTAACGTTGAGAACCCCTGATCTAGCTATTTGAAGCTAGTTAAGGGTTGGAAAAAAGCTCAATTTTTGTATATTTAAACCTCAATAAAAATGAGGGTACATTTCTGGTAGAGTTATTAGTAATATCTCACTTATTGCTATGTGCCAATAAGTATGTGTCATACTGAGCATATGTGCACATACCTTTACAAACCTTATTGCTTGCTTTATGGTTTTCACAATTAAACATTTTGCTGAGGTGTTTCATTTCAAGCCAACCTGCAGTCCGCATGATCCTATTTTAGTAGCTACTGCACGTCCGATCTTGTACAGTGGCTTCAGAATAGAAAGCTTGCTGCAGCAGATCAATTAGATTTGCAATTCTCAAAGTGAAGCTTGGTCAATTTTCTTCTGCCAATATTAACCCCAACATCAATACTACTTTTCTAACTTGCACTTTTATGAAGGCTACAGAAAGAAATTTGCTCATGTCATTTTCCCATAAAAATGGTTGTTTATGTTTCACTCCTAACTCCAGCAGGCTTTCTGCTGATTGTTCAGGAAAAGGTTGTTAAACCTCTATATTATAAAAGGCTACAAAATGCTTGCAGAGAGTTATGGGAGTGGTTAGTGTAACAACATCTGGAAGACTGCAGTTATGAACAAGCAATCTGGATTCATTTGAACATGTTCACTTCTAAATTTACCAATAGCCCTGAGGGTTGGTGCAGCCAATTCAAATATTTTGATCAGTTAACGTTGTGATTGTCTTTAATTGATAACTTACTTGCAAAGTGTATTATTTCCAAATCGAATATTAACCCTTTGGTTTAACATACATTTAGTGGCAAGAGATAGTTTATACCTCTGATATACAAACTAACCTTTTTCTTATTTCCCATTTTCTAAAATCCACGATGCCACCATTTTTTTAAATCTAATTTAATAACCATGTCATATGATAAAAGACACTACTGCTACAATAATCTAAAAATGTGAAATAAAAATAATAATGTAACAGATAGCATGCAGTGAGACATATAACAGAAGGCATGGACTTTATAAAATGGCTCTTCTTTCCTTTTCTCCTCAAGTTTTTTGTCAGTATATTATTCCGAAACATTTTTAAGCTGCCTCTGTGCAAGTTATGCATCTGACACAGCACACACAGCCAATGGTGGCATGGCTTCCGCCTCTGTGCAATGTTTTCCCCTCATTCTGCCCTCCCTGATCTTCATTCCCCTCCCACACATGATGTCAGTGGAGGAAGATCAGGCTCCAGTGAGAAATTGAGCCCAACACTGGAACAGTGGTACATTTTAGCTAATGTTTTTCTGAGGGTTAAAACCTTCTAAATGCCTGGGATTTATTGAAAAGACAATCTAAACACCAAAACCACTTTATCTCAATTAAGTAGATTTGGTGCATAGACCATGACCCTTGATTATGTAAAGGTTCCCAATGCGTCTCTACGAGAAGCACTGTAAAGGACCAAGAACATTAATTTTATTGATCTCAGTTAATATTGTCATTTGTATAGCACCAACGTAATCCACAGTTATGCAGTAGTTTGCATAAATGAACACAATTGTAAAGCCAGCCACTGTTTGAACATGTCAAAGAGAGGCTATTTGTATGGTGTGTTACAATGCACATCAAACAAATCCCAACTCTTTTGCTAACCTTCATCAAAGATTTCTACTGGGGAGGCTGGGAAAACATATTTAATGGAAGTATAATAAATCTTGGATGGGGCTGATGGTAATGTAATAGAAGCTGTGTCACTGCCTGAATAATTTTATGATCCAGGTTAGTGCATTTCTTTAAAGGGATACCATGGGGTCAGGAACACAAACATGTATTCCTGAGCTTACAGTATTAAAACCACCATCCCTCCCTCTGCCTGCCCCCTTTTCTCCCCTAAATATAGTAACATTTTACTTTTAATTCAGTCTTTAAAAAAAAGTATTTATTTGAGCCAATCACAATGCTTTCCCATATGATTGGCTAAGACTGTCAAGGAGGCAGATCAGGGGCAGAGCCAGCACAAGCCAAACACAGCCCAGGGGAATCAGCATCTCCTCATGAAGATGCATTGAATCAATACATCTCTATGATGTGTCTCCATACAGAAGTTAGAGGTACTGAATGTCAGTGCTGCCTCAGGAAGCAACTCCAGTAGCCATATGAGGAGTGGCCATTTTGCTAGGGCCAAAACCCTTAAACTATAATACAAATCTTACCAAACAGTGTTTCAATCTATAAAAGATGGAATTGGCTGGGACAGCAGTCCTATTCTGCATTTTGTTAAATATGACATGAATGCATGTTTAATCAGAGGATCTTACATTAACATGATGGACTACGTTATTGAAAATGTTTATAATCCAAATTTGAACCAGCAGACATGTAGACAAACTGCTGAAAAATGTGATGTAGTCAATGTGTATAGTAAATGACTAAAGTTTGTCTATTAGATTAATTAAAATTATATAATGATTCAGTAAAGACTACAAATATTGCTTTACACACATGTATTAGCCATTAGATTATAAGTTCGTCTGAGAAGGGTTCTCATCAACCTATTGTTACTGTATCATTTTGTAATTGTCCCTCTTATTGTTTAATGTCTCCTTTCATAATATTGTAAAGCATTGCAGAATAAGTTGGCACTATATAAATACCAATAATAATAATTAGATTAGAATTTAATACGTTAATCACTTGCTGCACTTGAGGAAGATTGTTCTGTAGACAAGAAGATATGTACCAGCACAACCAAAATCTTTTTACCATCTCTGAGCAAATTTCCCTCAAGAGATGTAGGAACTTGTTTGATTGTTAAATAACAGCTAAGATCTTCCTCTAAACCAGCATTTCCTAATTAGTGTTCCACGGAACAAAATTGGGGTTCCACAGAGATTTGCCCATCGGGTTGCTCAAGCATTAACGGCCACCCGGCGGGTATCGCTAAACAAGGGTCTGGTCAGGTGCCACGGTCATCTAAAACCGCAACCAGACCTCTGTGGTATTGGATGCTGGGAGGAAGTGACAACACTTCCTCCCAGACAGAGGGTGCCGACTGAAGGGGGAGAGGGAGCAGCGGGGATTGAGCAGCACACCAACCTCAGGAGCACTGAAGATCCTCCTGCAGAAAAAAGGTAAGTAAACAGCAGATTTAAATGTTGTGTGTGTGTATGTGTATGTGTCTGTGTCAGTGTGTGTATCTCCCAATCTGTGTGAATCTGTGTGTGTGCCAGTTTGTGTATTTGTGTGTCAAGGTGTGTGTATGTGCCAGTGTGTGTATGTGTTTGTGTCTGTGTCAGTGTGTGTATCTCCCAATCTGTGTGAATCTGTGTGTGTGTCAGTTTGTGTATCTGTGTGTCAAGGTGTGTGTATGTGCCAGTGTGTGTACTGGTGTGTATATCTGTGTATCTGTGTTTGAATGTGCCGGTGTGTGTCAAGGTCTGTGTATCTGTGTTTGTATGTATCAGTGACATACACACACACACACATATATACACTGACACGTAGATACACACTTTGACACACACTGGCACATACAAACACAGATACACACACTGACACATAGATACACACACCTTGACACACACTGACACATAGATACACACACCTTGACACACAAATACATACACACACACACACACTTTGTGTCAAGGTGTGTGTATCTGTGTGTCAAGGTGTGTATCTGTGTGCTACTATGTGCCAGTTTGTGTATCTGTGTGTCAGATACATACGCGAACACAGATACACACTGATACACATGCACACACTGGCACATACAACACAGATACACACACATTGACACACAACAGCACATACAGACACAGATATACACACTTTGATACATAGAAACCCACACCTTGACACACAGATACATACACACACACACGCAGCGGAGTACATACCGGAGTCGCAGGGGTTGCGGCTGCGACCGGGCCCGGCCCCCCAGGGGGCACGGCCACCCTGCGACACGGTATGTATGCCACTGTGGCCAGCTTTTTCTCCTGGGGGGACCAGGAGCTGGCCACCTCAGGGCCCCCCAAGGCTGGCCCTGGTGTCACCCGGTGGGCAGGCTGCCGGGCGTACGAGGGAACACACTCCCCTGAGTGCTCCCTCTTCAGCTCCCTCGCGCACCGCACTGATGCCGGAGCCGGCATCAGTATGCGGCACGCAAGGGAGCTGAACAGGAAGCACTCAGGGGAGAGTGCTCCCTCGCGCGCCCGCCAGCCTGCCCGCCGGGTGACACCACTGGATCCCAGGGAATCCCCTCAGCTCTCCCAAAGGTAGGGAGGCTGGGGGATTACATTTAAAAAAAAAAGTGTGTGTGTGTTAGTGTGTGTGTGTGTGTTAGTGTGTGTGTGAGTGTGTTAGAGTTAGAGTGCTGCCTAGGGCAGCACAAAACCAGGATATACCACTGTGTGTATCTGTGTGTCATATTCATACACAGTGACACACAGATACACACACAGCACATAAAAACACAGATACACACACACAGATATACACTGTGTGACAAGGTTTGCGTATCTGTGTTGCCACTATGTGCCAGTGTGTGTGTATCTGTGTGTCAGATACATACACACACACACACACACACACACACAGATAACACACCTTGACACACAGACACACACCGGCACATACAAAAAAAAGGTTTATGCAACGGCCCAAGATGAAAACATTTAAGCACACTCTTTAATTGGATATCATCGATAACCTCAATAAATTTTATATTTCGTAGAAAATTCTAAATGAGTTTAATGCCCTGCAGGTGTAAGAAAATAGCACATATATCGGTTAAGGACCTTTGAAAACTGAAGTTAAGCAGAGCTGCTCTTCATTAACACTTGTCCTTGAATGGCATGACATAATATCAGACATGACAGCAAGGCATCAAAATACTCAGCTTGAAACATACTTATGAGAAGTTTGTCACTTACTGTGAATCCATATATAACTTACAAATCCTGTCCTGCTATAGTTCAAAGACTTTGCTGAAGCCAGACCAGAGAAAAAAAACTTTTTTAGAGAACTGCTAGACCCCAAATTAGATCATTTTTTGAGTGTTTGAGTCCTTAGATTTTAATAATTGCTCTCCTAAAAATAAGAAACCCTCCAACATCATATCCTAACATTTAAATAATTTCACTGTTAAATGTTGACTATAAATTAAATGCAAAAATCTCTGCTGATGGAATTTCAGTCTTCTCTCACATTGACTACATTGCAGTTAGGTAGAATTCATAAATTTAACAAGCCTTATATTCCACCAGATTAACAGAAAGTATAGACACTAAATGTCAGTGCTGTACACGGAGCAGCAATGCCCCGGGAAGTACCTCTAGCAGCCATCTGAGGTGTGGCCAGTGGATGTATCCCTTGGCTCTAATGTAAACACTGCCTTTTCTCTGAAAAGACAGCGTTTACTGCAAAAAGATGGAAGGCAATGATTATACTCTGGAATAAAAGGGAATTATGACATGTCACACATGTCATGTGTCCTTAAGGGGTTAATAACACTATGCCAAAACAAGATCTTGAAGTCCCTTGGCATGCCAGTCCTATTTTTTTTTTTAATTGAGGTATGTATGTTGTCATATTGTTCTTGTGTTATTTATGGTGCTGCAGTTGCTTTGTAATGATGTATTTGTGTGTATGTGGGCTGTTATATTGTATATGTTCATGAGTAGTTTATGTACTGTGTATGATACCTATTAATGTGGGTTGTATATAGGGGCTGCTTGTGGAATTGTGTGTGATAAGCTTCTTGTGGGGTTGTGTGCACACATGTGGATTATCGGTTGTGTTTGTGGGAACTGTGTGTGTGTGTTTGTGTATGGACTGTTGGTAGTATTTTTATGAGGAAGAGGCATCTTCTGCATCTCTGTGTATATCTTACAGTGTGTGTGGCTATCCTGGGGTCCAATGGGCACTGGGCTGGCCAAGTACAAGTCAATGGCAGGAGCTGCGACAGCTACTGCAGACTGCTTTACTCTTGTGCAGATTCCCATTAAAGTGTTGAGATAAAGTGATCTCAGATTACTTCCTCTAAGTGCTGCAATATGTAAATTGAGGATTACCCCTCACCACCTGCAGTCACTGCTCGGGTTGCACTAGCATATATCTGAAGTCCCAGTTGGACTCCTAATAGGCAAGAGTCTGCTTGTGTGTTTGAATGTAAGCAGGTTTTTATATGGAATATGTGTGTGACTGTAGGGTGTATTTGTCTGTAATGTAGTGTGTTTTTATGTACTGTTGTAATTTGAAAGCAGTGGTTGTGGTGTAGCATTTCCCTTAAAATATAAAGGGTTGTGTCTGTATGTAGAGTTGACATTTGAATGTAGGGGTGTATTTGTGTGTAGTGTATAGACACACAAATACATACACACATGCATATACTCATACACACATGAGATACACAGACACACAAAATGATACCCAGATACCCAGAATGACACACATTCAGATACACATAATGACACTAATACAGACAGATACACAGACACAAATACAAACACACAGACAGGTACAAAGGCACACAGATAAACAGATATACAGACAGCTATATACACATACAGACACACAAATAGATACACAGACATACAGATACACACAAACAGACACACATGCAAAATGTAAAAACATTTTATCCACATTTTGCGTGCAGGCAGGTCGCTTCCCTGGGGCCAATTGGCTAGCTAAAGCTATTGGGAGTCAGACCCTCTCTAAAATTGCACCCCCTCTTCTCTGTTTTCTATTCCTGTGTGGCTCTGTGATAGCTGAGAGGAAGTGACAGACTCTCACTTCCTCCAGCGCTGCCATTACATTATTACAGGCGCTCTGGAATGCTGTTAAGATGCACATGTGCAAGGCCACCGTATGGGCCCCCTTAGCATTTGTGCCCCAGTGCAGCCACACTGTAGTGTAGTGTGTTTTTATGTAGTGTAATTTGAAAGCAGTGGTATACTTCTGTGCACTGGCAGTAGTTCTGCCACTGACTTCACGGATTGCAGGGATGTTTTCCCAAAGGGAAATGCGCACATACGCAGCAAAATTCCATTCTGCGCTAACCAAATAGTCTTTACGAGTCCTTCTGGATGCTTAGTCGAGTTTAATTTGGTTATTGGGGTGGAAGCACCTCTAGTGGCATGTTAACTCTGCAATGTAAACATTGCCATATCTACTAAACCCCAGTAATTTTAGTTGCAGGGTTAAAAAGACAGGGGTATAGCACCTGAGATGAAGTGGGCTGGGTGCCTATAGAGTCCCTTTAATGAAGAAATAATCATGTTGCTTAAATACAAGTAAGAGAGTTTAATATTCATTATTGTAAGCTTTTGAGCTGCTGATGTAAAGCAAAGTTATAGTCATCTATCTCAAGGAGCAGAGGTATTCAAATTAGGCTGAAGAAAACACTTGCTGATCTGCAAATTTTATTGATCTTATGACCTGCTAATATAATACTTGCTAGCAGTTTAGATAGGGATGTACAAATTAAAACAATGCATAGTAAGCAGACACTAAATGTTAGATGTCGAGATAGACACACTGGTATTTTCTCCCCTCTTGATGAGAGTTAACAGAATAATTTAGCACCCTGACCCTTAGATTTAAAAAGATGTTTGCAACAATTGTACGATACAAGAAGTAAATTTGGAAATGTACAGCAGTTTACTTAAACTGAAATGTAATGTGTTTGTGAATGTGTAAACAGAGATCACACGTTTAACTATACAAACATTTCATGGTAAAGGAGATAAAATCGATTTTTTTCATTACATTGAAAAATTATGCTAAAATGTAATGTAAACAACTAGTATAGAATGATAATAATATTTATTGGGAAGTTATGACCCTATGAATTGGAAAAAAGCACATTGATATCTTATATCATATAAGCTCAACTGAAGGAGTTGCTTGATTGGCAAATGGCAAGGTACAGAAGGTAATATGATACAGATTTATTATACGTTATATGCGCTGTGGTTTCTTTGACCTTAAATGAACACTTTAGTGTTAGGAATACAAACAATGTATTCTAAACACTAATGTGTTCCTCAACCCAGTGGCCTCCCTAGCCACTAGAGGCAGTTTTGGTTTCTCTAAAACTAAGGGGGAGAGTGACAGTGCACCTGAGATGAAGTGGACTGGGTGCCTATAGCGTCCCTTTAAATTTGACTATTTTGACCTTAAATTTGAAACTCACTTTGTATTCCTGACAATTCTCACTTTAGTAAGTTGCCCTGTAGATCTCTCACTGTATAACACTTTGTGATGGGAAAAGAGAGAAAATGTATAGGCAAGAATTATCATGTTTGTACAACATTTTCCCTGGAGAATGGGTATAATAAGAAGTTAAAGAAATTATGTTGACAACAACTCTTGGGACATTTTAAAAAAAAATGCATAATTTGCTTGACATTTAAATGATAAAAGTAGAAGCAGCAAATATGTGCGGGTGCGAGATTTAAATTCCAATTTGTAAATAATTATTATAGTTGAATTTAATCGCTACATTTTAAAAAATCTTGAACTTCTTAAGGCATTTAGATGGATTGCAGTTCTAAAAGTATGCTATCTAAATACTTTTAGCCATGTGTAAACAAAATGCAATTTGACTCTATAAAACAAAGACTCATGGACATGTATGTGGAACACAGGTTTAACCTAGAAGATACTAATTTAATCAAAACTTTTTACATTTGTGCAATTTGAATTGCATTGCTAACGGAATGAATCAATTGGATATATCTTTAAAACGGTTTGCTAATTCAGTATCTTAAAATCATCTTTGCCTCCATCTGTAGATCTTCTCACAATATAAGTTCTGCTATAGATCAGTGAAATACTATTGAAAGTCTCTAGACTATTAATTATTTTCTAAAATAATTGCTAATAGTGAAGAGTTCAAGAAAAAAACGGCATTATAATATATTAGTAGCTTCATACTCATTAAATAATCTGGACTAGTATTCAGCATTTCTGTTCCCTGTATATTATCTTTTTCAGTTCCCCTAGCAGTGTGGGTGTTATGGAATAGAGATGAGGCATCAGGTATTGCTCAAATTATTTGTGTCTCTTAATTGCTTCAACAATGCAGTCCACATGATACACACACTGTTCTCGTAAAACTGCCATCCCACCCTCTCCCTTTCTTTCCCAATGATTCCTTACACCTTTACATCATTAGAATCTCATTTAATGTTCATTATAATCATGTTAATCATGTTGAACTAATGTGCTGCTAAAGCAGCACTGTCTTCAGATTTGTTAATGTTTTTTCCATTATTTAAAAATGTTACAATAAAATGCCGGAGAGCACCTGGCCCAGAGTTCATATTAAACAGACTGAGATATTGAACATCTACAGAAGGTGGGTTGATAGAATTACAGGAGTGGAACATGCTTTAATCTAGGAGTGGTGCTGCAAGAATGACTTCATAAAATGGATTTCTGGCCCATCTTATTAAGTAAATTTGTATAATCAACACACACATTTCTCCTGCTGAAATATGTTTGATTTCTGTATTTCCAAGATTTGTAAATCTGTGTCTTAATCTGCATCCTGAAATTCTATAACTGTTGTCTGCATGGGCCCAACGAGACTGAAATTCTCTTACCTAATAAAGGAAAAAACTGCATCTTAACATGACAGTGACTTGATACTGAAGCTGACAGTTGAAAATAATACAAAATAAGCATGGCTGGATTAAGAACCCATTGAGATTGGTGCTGACAATTATAATGGGACTAATTACAGAATTTATCAACACAAAAAACTAAAACAGTTATACCTCCCAAGTGTCTTGTGTCTGGTAGAGGTGGAGCTGGAGAGAAATTCACAGGATGCATTTATAATAATATGCGAGCTCTTACTAATGCCTTGCTTTTATCTCTCAACCAACCAAAGACATCAGCATCCTGTAAAGTACGGTAAAATAAAGGGGGGCTTGTGATACAAATAAAGTCACTGGGACTGCCCAGAGTTGCGGACCCACATTCAAAATGGGTGATTATGCCCAAACAATTGTATAGTCAACCTGGCGTGAATGCATGCCATGCTAGCTGGCAATCATGCAGACCAGTCAACTAAGGGTGATCTATGCAGTCAGTGCTGCACATTAGCGAACACATCTAATGATGCACTTGCTCTACACTATCTGGCCTGCTCTCACTATTCCACTCCTTTCCTTCTTACTAGCAGGCAGAAGCTCCTAGAAATAGCAAACAGGATACCGGAAAATTTTCAAGTGGGCCGTGGCACTTGGGGCCGGGAAGTCTGCCCCAATGCCATTTAAATTATGTTTCTTAGACTGTAACAGTCTGAGGGAATTAAGGAGAAAGGTGAGGTACATCGGCAAAGTTAGCAGTTGACTAGAGAAGTGAGATAGCACTGTAAGTCTCCCTTCACATTAACCTGCAGCTTTTCTGACCCTCTTCTGTTTCATCCCCGCAATCAAGCTCCAACCTTCCCCCGCCTCAACAAGCTGACCTTGCAGGCAGGAAAAGATTCGACAATGGCAATATCACCTCCCAGTGCTCCCATGCTTCAAATTTCCAGCAGCTCATGACTGAGAGTGACTTTGTGTGTGTATGTGCCTACTAGTGAGTTTGGTTGTAGTCAACATGTGTTATGTGTGTCCATGATCTGTAGTGGGCCTGTGTGTGTCAGTGTGTGTCAGTGAGCTTCTCTGTAGTGAGCATGTTTAATTTTAGTTTATAACATTTAAAATATGGCTATGTCAGACGATTGCTACCTCAGATGATTAAGTAATTTATAAACATAGATTATATATATATATATATATATATATATATATATATATAATTATATATATACATATACACACTATGTGGCACAATCACTTATGGGGCTGGCATACATTATTTTTTCCAGGCTTGCTATGTATTCCCAGTCTGGCCCTGACTTCCCCTATGCAGTCTGGGACAGAGCAAAGGTAGATGTAGTGAGTGTAGAAGAAAGGAAACATGCCACACTGTTAGAGAGACCCAAGCGGCAAGAGCATTTGCACAGTGCGCAAACTCATTTTTTTATAGTCAGGCAGTCCACACATGCTTGTTCCGCTGCATCCTCCTAAGTTTCCAAACATAATTCACAAAGCAAGAGCATGTGAGGAGAAGTAAAAAACAAACAAACAATATAGAATTATTTTTAATAAATGGGCCTATTCCATGGGCATGGAGCTTCAGTTACATTAGCCCCTATTTTAATTTGCCTTAAAGGGGAAGGATGTGGTTCAGTTGGTGCAACAAGAAAAAAAATTACTTTCTATTTCACTAGACTCAAACATTAAAAAATCCATTAGTGCCACTCACCCCTATTACCACAAGAAAGCTGCCACAACCTAAGATATTTAAAAATGAGGAGTCCTAGTTTACCTCAGCAAAATTAAAGAGGCACTATGAACCCCTAAAGCATTTTAATTTGCTTAAAAAAGTGCATTATTAAATCCATGCAAGTTTTCATTTGGGGTATTGCTACTAAACAGTGATTATTTTGTATTTGAGCAATGGAGTGTCCCTTTAAACCCTGAAATTTAGCATTTATCTATAGAACACAATGATGTTTGATTTGTCTCTTCAGTATACTAGACAAAGACAGACTTTAATAAGAAATTTTATTATGAACAAAAATAGTCACAATGTATGCAATTAAAAAAATATATATATCGGGGGGCGGAGTTAGCGGCCAAAAAGAGCAGATGTGCTGCAAGAGCGCTCCGCTACGACAAGCCTGTAAAAGCTATTAAGCAAACCTAAAATCGCCCGTTTTGCAGCAAATACGTATTGCCAGTATGGGGACGAAGTCCAGATGCCAGGGACCCATCAAACCAGTGGGATCCCAGGACATTGGCGATCTCCTACTCCGGCCTTCCAGAGCCTCGGTCACGGCCGCACCTAAAGAAAATGGCGACTTGTTTTCAGCCTCCTTTGAAGAACGGGCTATGGACGAGCTGGACAAGATTCCAGCCGCAGGGGGGCTCCATTACACATCCTCCGATGAAGACAATGAATTGCCAGCTACCAAGGGCGACAATAATGCGCTCCTTCGCAACATCCGAGGGCTATTTGCGGCAGACTTCGCCATAGTGCAAGAAGACATACACAAAATGGAGGGACGTGTTACTGCAGTCGAAATAGACGCACAGGGACTCTCCTCCAGATGCCAAACAATGGAGACCCTGACAGCAGAGCTCCAAAAAGCCCAAGCACAATTTATCACTCGAATGGACAATATGGAAGACAGGCACAGGAGCAGAAATATTAAGATCAGGGGCATCCCTGAGTCAATCACGTCCGGGGAGCTGCCCCACTATGCCAGGAGGCTGCTGAGCACCATATAAACCCCAGGCAGAACGAACAAGTCCTGGTGGATGGGATATTCTGCATACCTAAAGCTACGAAGGCACCGGCGGACTCCCCAAGGGACGTTATCGTCCAGTTCCAGACAAGATCAGCGCAACTACAAATAATGGCGGAAGTGAGGGGACAGCCCGCTTATTCCTTCGAAAATATTCACCTCGTATTCTTTCAGGATCTATCCAGACCTACGCTGTTATGGAGAAGCCAGTTTAAACCTCTGACCTCGACACTATGCACCCACTCAATCCCATACCGTTGGGGCTTCCCCAGGTGCCTGGTCATATCGCAAGGAGAGAAGAGCTTACGACTTACCACAGCCGCAGAATCGGATGCAGCGCTCCAGGCATTGGGCCTAAAGAGCCTTCTGGAACAGGGGTGGAGAGCACCACATAATTGGGACATAGATAAGTTCATACCGTTACAATCATCTGGAAATCACAAAATGGACCAGGCCTCCTCCGGTGCAAATTCAACCTCCAGTAACCCAGTGAGGAAGGAACAGCACAGGCCAGGTACCTGAGGAACTGAACTCATTCAACCTTATTCAAAAGCCTGCCCCTCCCTGCCCTCCCTAGCCGGGAACAATGTGTTAAGTTTGAGGTTCCAAAGTTCAGCGCTCGGCAACAAGGTACCTCCACCTACAACTAGCCCCCAGAAACCAAGGGTGAACACTGGGGGAGAGCCCTGACACACCTGGAAACAACTACACCTGCTCATATATGAGCACTTACCGAGGCGAAAGCCAAAGCAAAATACGAATCCTTGTGTCGCTGGTACCGATCCCATGACGCTTGCAGTGTTAGCCTAGTGACTGTTTCCGATGGTCTTCAAGGACACTCATTAGTATGAAAAATTGAAGGACTTGTTCCTTAATAGTACCTTACACCTCCTAAACCGCAAAATGTTACATTTTACTGTAGATATTTGATCGCCTCACTTTGCAAATATTTCCCAATCTGGAAGTGTACCTGTATCAGTTGAATTTAATTTACCTAGTTTGAATTTAGTTGAATGTAACTTACTTATACATGACAACACATACAATACCACAGTAACTGTAAACCAAGGGTACTTACGCGGCACTCGGACCTTATCTGTTGTACAGTGTGACATTGCCATGGCAGAGGAAAACAAGAATGTGGAGTAAGACAAGTAAGATAGAAGGCCTACTCTGAGCCATGTGGAGGGGCAGTTGACACTTTCCCCGCTTATTGAAACAAATCACAACCAACGCAGTCCACACATAGTGGGGCGGTAGCCTTTGATTTGTCCCCACACTTCGAGCCTACGAACTTCACAAGGGTAATACAAATAACAGCAAACCACCCCATGCTCCCCCCAGATCAAAATCCAAGTCCTTATAGAGGAAGCGGGTCGTAAGTCTCCCCCCCCTTACTCTAATTTGCTCCCCAATAAGCACACTCAATTTCCAATGAAGGCAGTTTGGAAGGTACATCATGACCATGGTGCTGCCCGATCTATAAACCTCCCCCCCTCCCCCAAGCTCAGGGTTACAGAGCATCCCACCCAGCCTACAAAAACAGCAGCCGAGTTGGCTACACCCCAAAAGTATAGAATAGCGTACCTTAGCCTGTTTATTTTATGTACCAGTGATTCTTGCAAAACCTGTATGTATATGTTACCTACAACTCATATCACCTTTTTCCTTAACATAAATTGTGCATTATATGCCTATATCAAACTTACCAAAACTATGTTATTGTTATTCTTTCTTATGCACCCAAAAATAAAGAATTTATAATATATATATATACATATATATATATATATATATGTGTATATGGATGTGGTTTTATTGTACTCGTCTATTCCGCATGGCAAATGTTTGTTGGCATTACAATATTATTTGGATCATTACAGTGGGTATAGTCCAGCACTAAAGAAATGTATTTGGAGCATCGTTCCATACTTATTAGAACACAATTTTCTTCCTCTTTGAAGGTTTTTTTGTTTTTATCTCCAGAGACACGGGACTTCGATTGGGGTAAAACTTGCCCTGTCCTACGTCAACCTTTATATGGGTTGGTGGGAGGGGTCTCTGGCCTTAGGTGATGATGTTTGCTTTTTTTAAACACTATATTGATGATCTTATCATGTTTTGGTATGGCACATATGAAAACATTGTTATTTTTTGAGTACACCATTCATAATGATGTTAATGTATATTGGAATATGACCTTAGAGAAATCAACTTTTTGGATGTTACCATTGTATTAACTCAGGGTTGGGAAATTTAGAATTTTGTAAATCTACTAATGTGCATACCCTGATGTATGCTAAGAGTAATCATCCTTTTCATTTAAAAAAGGGCATTCTGGTAGGTCGGTTTTTGATGAGTAAACGTAACAGCTCAGATGAGATTGCAATTTGAAAGAGAAACAAATGGATGATTGAATGAGCATACTCCAGGGCATCATGACAGGATAGATCTTCCTAAATGAGGGGGGATGTCAGTAATAGGAAAAGTAGTGATAGATAAAAACAGATTATTTAGTACACCGCAACTAATTTAAAGACATTTGAGCGATCATTAAGAGAAATTTACCTATTTTAATACAAGGTAAAAGTTTGGCTAATCTTATGAAGGATGAGCAGATAATGGCCAAGTGACTTAATTCTTGCTTAGTTTCTTTGAAAGAAATAATCCAGTAACTGGCAACAAGAATAATTTGCTTTGGTAATTTTAGGTGTGTTCATGGTTGGATTTTGCTTGTTTTTAGGTAATAATTAATTTATTTGTGGGTTGTTTTTTTGGGAGGGGGGGTGGAGGGAAGTTGTTATACAATTGCTATCTGTGGGTAGATATTGCACCTGGCTAATGTATATATTTTTCAACCACTTTACTTAGCAAGTTACATTTCAGCCATGTTGCTATTTTAGAACAGGAAAAAATGGATGGAGCAATATTAGTCCTCTCTTCTCGACTTGTAGTTCTGTGGAGACAGAGAGGTACACACAATAGTGCAGATGGCTATAGACAGGTGTGGCTAGGTGATAGATGAAAACACTCACAAACGTAGAGCCAATTGGACCTGGCTCTGGTATCAAGGCCTCAGGATCTTTTGGGGGTGATCCAAATCCCTCTGGAGGTGTTCTGGATGTCCAAGGATACTTTCTTGTTCCACCATAAACAGCAAGGGATTCAATTAGATGTAAAGTAAAATATAATTTATTAATACATATATAGGCTGTTATTTCACACTTATCTTTCCTATATATGTATTAATAAATTATATTTTACTTTACATCTAATTGAATCCCTTGCTGTTTATGGTGGAACAAGAAACATAACAATATTCTAGACCTTTCTAGAATTTGATTGACCCAGAGATTCAGGTCAAGTCAGTGGATCCTTTTTAGCAGCAGAATGAAATACACAATACTTGCTGCCACCAGATTCCAGACTCTAGGTGGTATCGTTTGTTTGACCCCACTACTCTAGTTGTTAAGGATTCCAGATGCAGAATGCTAGCATTAATACGTTAATTTATGTAAATTTGAAAAGAAACATCTTTGCAGCCTAATTTAAGTAACTGTTAAACATATTATTGTGCAGAAATATTAAAATGAAAGTAACTGCTTTATGAAAAAAATATAAAACAAAACCCAAAGCATGATTTCTTTCATCTCTGAGACAGAGAAGGGAAGATGAAGAGAGAAGAAAAGAAGAAGAGCAAATTCGGCAGAGAGAGGAACTGCGTGCAAAAGAGCTATATCTGAGCCTCAAGATAGCCCAACAGCAAAATCAAAAAAATGAAAATGAGGAGGAGGAGTGGAAGGAACAGTGTAAGTAATTATGATTATATGCTTAATTTCCTTCCAGTAAAGCGACTCTCTTAATTTATTCCTAAACCCAAGTGATAGCGCTCAATATATCCAAACAGCGCTCAGATGCCACAAACACAGTCAAATCGCCATGGAGTTTAGGTTTAGCATGGGCTGATGAGAGGGGCCATAGTCATGAGGAAGGAGGCTGGCAATTAGGCTTCTCCATAAGCCAAGGACACATGGCAATTTGTCACCTAAAATCCCAGTTACAAACGGCGGTTTGTAACAAAACTGATATAGCAATCTCTGGAATGCTAATGTAGAGCTAACATTGAAATTGTAGAGCCAATTTAGTTCTCCTTCTCTCTGACTGTAGGTATGATATGACCCAATTAAACTTCCTGTACTGTTTGAAACCAGAAGGTGAGAGAATTGCAGGAATTGTATAAATGATTAGTGGCTTTTGCCAGAGAAATTTGTTCCTTTACAGGCTGGTAATAATTCCTAAAGTAAAAATGAGAGTTGGTGAGGCTATATGGACTAAATTTCATTTTGCAAAATGCATGAAAATAAAAGTGTTTTATACTTAATTTTAGTAAAATTAAAGGGTCAATAACAAATGTTGCTGCTTTATTGATGCAAGAGTAATGCAATTCTTCCAGTAGGAAATCATTCATCCCAAAACACAAAAAAACTAAAGCACATGTTACGTTTTAACATATAAATATTATAATTTAATAATTTAATTTTAGACATTAAACACTGTAGAGGAGAGCTGGTATTTCACAGGTTATCTCCACTCAAGATCCCAGTGAGGCTCATGAACAAGTATTAAAAATCTATAAGGCAATAATTACAGCAGGAAAGAAAATCCACGAATATGCCAATACAGATCCCAATGACTGGACGACACACAGCATCAGGAGCAGAACTGAACTTTTAATCCACACAACCTTCTTTTAAAGCTTTCTCCCATGCAAGGGAGGGATTCACATTAATTAGTACAGTATCCAATAGTGTAACTGTTACCTCCCATACATCTCCTCCCCTCATAATCCACTTATACATACTGCATTTTTACCCAATTTCTGGATGTACCCCAGAACAGTCAGATAGAATTATATAATGGGTACCCCCTGAGTAGCCCTGATCTGGGTGACTAACATATTCAAAATTCACCCAGATCGGACCACATAACTGCACACGAGGTAGTATCCCTGAAAGGCTCCATGTGTTTTTGCCTTGCGGTCGGTCTCTGTTCGGGAGATAAAAATGCATAGAAATACTTGCTATCCAAAGTTAAATCTGTATTTGGATTAATTACCTTGCTCGGGACATTTATTTTACCGAACGAGGAGCTGGGTGGCCCCTCCGTTCGGGAGTTATGGTGCTCTGGGGGTCTCAGCGGTGTTTGCCTAGTCGAGTGTTGGATTTTAGTTCCAGACACTCGACGGCAAAACACCGCTGTTCGGGAGTTTAAGATGGCCGCCGCCACGTGTTCGTCTCCCGAATGGTGGCCAACCAGAGGACAAAGCACAAACTGCACTGATTGCCAATTACGGGTTTGCAACATTGTTGCGAACGATAATTGGAGTCACACTTATTCCTGAAACAAGAGAATATGAAAGAAAAAAGAGACATTCTCCTGAACGAACACAAAGCTACAGAGATACAGGTACTATAGAAAACCACCATCAGAATCCTCGTTCCAAATTTGATCCAATTAGGGAACAAAGAAGGAACGGGAAAAAATACAGACATCATGAGGATACAACGAGACTCACACAAATTAAGGAAAGAATGCCAGAAGAGCCTCAAACAGCACAAGCATCTTCGCCCTCGGTTTTTTGGAGGGGACCAATTCAGGAGAGACTCAAATGGCGAGAGAACCCCCCATCATGGGAATCCCCGGGCAAACGCCAAAGATCAACAGATTATGAAACAGAAGAGGAAGAAATAAGAAACAAAGAAAAAAGGGGGAAGATGTAAATTCAGATGGAATTTTTAACCTTACAGACCATGTTTTAACAAAAGAGGAATTAAAAATACTGAAAAAAGGTCTAAAATTTGCACCGACACAGGAATTAAACAGATTTGATCTATTTATAGATATGAATAGATTTGTAAGGAAACTATGCTTAAAAAAGTTTTTTTATAATGGGGAAAATAGGATGCAAATAGAACAAGATCAGGAGAATGAATCTAATTTTATACATACAGAATTAAAAGAAAGGTCCAAATTTTTTCCTAAACACATGATTTCGAATGAAATGAGAGCTTTTGAAACCACGGTTATGGCAGAAATAAATAATATAAAAAAATTAAACAAATATCAAGATAATATGTCAGTAAAAGAACGATATACCTTAAAACAAATTCAAAAAAATAAAGACATAGTTATCAAACCGGCGGATAAGGGAGGGGGGATAGTTATTCTTTCCAAAGCACAATACCAAGAAGAATCAGAGAGAATTCTCTCCGATGAGAGAACGTATAAAAAACTCAAATCGGATCCAACTGGCAAAGTAAAGGGAATATTTGAAGAATATATACAAAAAGGTATAGATAAAGGGATACTAACAAAAAAAGAAGGAGAATATCTTTCCATCCCCCACCCAAAAATACCAGTGTTCTACTATCTTCCCAAAGTTCACAAAGATCAAAAAAATCCCCCGGGACGCCCGATCATATCCGGAATAGACTCCATTTCTTGTAGAGTCTCGGAATACATCGATTTACTACTACAACCAATAGTAGTGAAAAATCCAGCATACTTAAAAGATACTATGCACATACTACAACTTTTGGGAACCAAATGGTGGGAAGATAATCACCTATTGGTGACAAGCGATGTCACGTCACTGTACAGCATAATTCCGCATGAAGTAGGTTTGGAGGCAGTGAAACATTTTTTAACTGTAGCTCATTTTGACATTGAACAAAGAGATTTTATATTAGAAGGCATTCGCATTATTTTAACCAATAATTTTTTCTGGTTTCAAGGTACATTTTATCTCCAGATCAGGGGCACAGCGATGGGCACCAAATTCGCACCCAGTTATGCCAATTTGTTTATGGCGTATTGGGAGGAGACCCATGTTTTTTCAGAGCATCCCTGGGTGTCGAATTTGGTGTCCTATCGACGATATATAGACGATATTTTTTTCATTTGGAACGGCTCATGTTATCTTTTAGAAATGTTTTTAGCCTTTTTATCATCTAACGAATGGGGAATCGTTCTTACCACCATACAGAGTTCATCCAGCATTAATTTTTTAGACCTTCAAGTTTTTATTGAAGACCAGCAAATTAAAACCAAGAATTTTTTTAAGCCAGTGGACGCCAACGGTTATATAGAAAAAAAGAGTTGCCATCACAAACCTTGGCTAGAAAATGCCCCAAAGGGCCAGTTCCTACGAATTCGGCGGAACTGTACGAACGAACAAGATTTTATCATTCAAGCGAACATCATCAAGAAACAATTTCTGGAAAAGGGCTACGAAGAGACTAAATTGACTAAAGCTATGAAAGAAATTCAAGACACCCCGAGAGAACAATTATTATCCTATAAATCACATCAGAAAAAAAATTTAAAAATAACGAAGAAATGCTTTATATTAATTTTAATGGGAATAATAAAAAAATAAATTCGAGTATAAACAAACATTGGTATATACTACAAAAAGATATATATTCTAAATTACAGGGACACTTTAATAGATAGATGATCCTTTTGGAAACATGTTAATTGGTCTTCTCTAATAAACAGATCTCTGTTTGTTCATTTAAATTTCTTACGTGTTTTTTAGGATTTTTTGTTGTTTTACATGCTAAGCACATGCCACACATGTAAAAAGCCTTTGCTCTGATTCAAAAAGTGTGATGCATTTTTCAATGGGCCCTCGCTGCTGTGGACTAGAGATTTTTTTAGATTGGCAGCACCTCTATAGATAATTTTAGGTTTTGTTGGTAATAAGCTTCTTAGAATAGGATCTTTTTGTAGTATATACCAATGTTTGTTTATGACTCTATTTATTTTTTTATTATTCCCATTAAAGTTACATATAAAGTGGGCTTCGTTATTGTTTAAATTTTTTTTCTGATGTGATTTATAGGTTAATAATTGTTCTCTCGGGGTGTCTTGAATTTCTTTCATAGCTTTAGTCAATTTAGTCTCTTCGTAGCCCTTTTCCAGAAATTGTTTCTTGATGATGTTCGCTTGAATGATAAAATCTTGTTCGTTCGTACAGTTCCGCCGAATTCGTAGGAACTGGCCCTTTGGGGCATTTTCTAGCCAAGGTATGTGATGGCAACTCTTTTTTTCTATATAACCGTTGGCGTCCACTGGCTTAAAAAAATTTTTGGTTTTAATTTGCTGATCTTCAATAAAAACTTGAAGGTCTAAAAAATTAATGCTGGATGAACTCTGTATGGTGGTAAGAACGATTCCCCATTCGTTAGATGATAAAAAGGCTAAAAACATTTCTAAAAGATTACATGAGCCGTTCCAAATGAAAAAAATATCGTCTATATATCGTCGATAGGACACCAAATTCGACACCCAGGGATGCTCTGAAAAAACATGGGTCTCCTCCCAATACACCATAAACAAATTGGCATAACTGGGTGCGAATTTGGTGCCCATCGCTGTGCCCCTGATCTGGAGATAAAATGTACCTTGAAACCAGAAAAAATTATTGGTTAAAATAATGCGAATGCCTTCTAATATAAAATCTCTTTGTTCAATGTCAAAATGAGCTACAGTTAAAAAATGTTTCACTGCCTCCAAACCTACTTCATGCGGAATTATGCTGTACAGTGACGTGACATCGCTTGTCACCAATAGGTGATTATCTTCCCATTTAGTGGTTCCCAAAAGTTGTAGTATGTGCATAGTATCTTTTAAGTATGCTGGATTTTTCACTACTATTGGTTGTAGTAGTAAATCGATGTATTCCGAGACTCTACAAGAAATGGAGTCTATTCCGGATATGATCGGGCGTCCTGGGGGATTTTTTTGATCTTTGTGAACTTTGGGAAGATAGTAGAACACTGGTATTTTTGGGTGGGGGATGGAAAGATATTCTCCTTCTTTTTTTGTTAGTATCCCTTTATCTATACCTTTTTGTATATATTCTTCAAATATTCCCTTTACTTTGCCAGTTGGATCCGATTTGAGTTTTTTATACGTTCTCTCATCGGAGAGAATTCTCTCTGATTCTTCTTGGTATTGTGCTTTGGAAAGAATAACTATCCCCCCTCCCTTATCCGCCGGTTTGATAACTATGTCTTTATTTTTTTGAATTTGTTTTAAGGTATATCGTTCTTTTACTGACATATTATCTTGATATTTGTTTAATTTTTTTATGTTATTTATTTCTGCCATAACCATGGTTTCAAAAGCTCTCATTTCATTCGAAATCATGTGTTTAGGAAAAAAATTGGACCTTTCTTTTAATTCTGTATGTATAAAATTAGATTCATTCTCCTGATCTTGTTCTATTTGCATCCTATTTTCCCCATTATGAAAAAACTTTTTTAAGCATAGTTTCCTTACAAATCTATTCATATCTATAAATAGATCAAATCTGTTTAATTCCTGTGTCGGTGCAAATTTTAGACCTTTTTTCAGTATTTTTAATTCCTCTTTTGTTAAAACATGGTCTGTAAGGTTAAAAATTCCATCTGAATTTACATCTTCCCCCTTTTTTCTTTGTTTCTTATTTCTTCCTCTTCTGTTTCGTAATCTGTTGATCTTTGGCGTTTGCCCGGGGATTCCCATGATGGGGGGTTCTCTCGCCATTTGAGTCTCTCCTGAATTGGTCCCCTCCAAAAAACCGAGGGCGAAGATGCTTGTGCTGTTTGAGGCTCTTCTGGCATTCTTTCCTTAATTTGTGTGAGTCTCGTTGTATCCTCATGATGTCTGTATTTTTTCCCGTTCCTTCTTTGTTCCCTAATTGGATCAAATCTGGAACGAGGATTCTGATGGTGGTTTTCTATAGTACCTGTATCTCTGTAGCTTTGTGTTCGTTCAGGAGAATGTCTCTTTTTTCTTTCATATTCTCTTGTTTCTCCTTGTTTCTGTGAGGGCATTCTCCTTATTCTGAGGCTACATGTATAGGAATAGAGAACCACCCCAGGCCACATATAGACATCCCCATAACAGACGAGATCACCAAAATAGAAGCTATAGCGATGTAGTGAAACAGGGTTTAGACCCACACGATGAGAGATCCCCACACGGAAGTAGCCTCAGAATAAGGAGAATGCCCTCACAGAAACAAGGAGAAACAAGAGAATATGAAAGAAAAAAGAGACATTCTCCTGAACGAACACAAAGCTACAGAGATACAGGTACTATAGAAAACCACCATCAGAATCCTCGTTCCAAATTTGATCCAATTAGGGAACAAAGAAGGAACGGGAAAAAATACAGACATCATGAGGATACAACGAGACACACAAATTAAGGAAAGAATGCCAGAAGAGCCTCAAACAGCACAAGCATCTTCGCCCTCGGTTTTTTGGAGGGGACCAATTCAGGAGAGACTCAAATGGCGAGAGAACCCCCCATCATGGGAATCCCCAGGCAAACGCCAAAGATCAACAGATTACGAAACAGAAGAGGAAGAAATAAGAAACAAAGAAAAAAGGGGGAAGATGTAAATTCAGATGGAATTTTTAACCTTACAGACCATGTTTTAACAAAAGAGGAATTAAAAATACTGAAAAAAGGTCTAAAATTTGCACCGACACAGGAATTAAACAGATTTGATCTATTTATAGATATGAATAGATTTGTAAGGAAACTATGCTTAAAAAAGTTTTTTCATAATGGGGAAAATAGGATGCAAATAGAACAAGATCAGGAGAATGAATCTAATTTTATACATACAGAATTAAAAGAAAGGTCCAATTTTTTTCCTAAACACATGATTTCGAATGAAATGAGAGCTTTTGAAACCATGGTTATGGCAGAAATAAATAACATAAAAAAATTAAACAAATATCAAGATAATATGTCAGTAAAAGAACGATATACCTTAAAACAAATTCAAAAAAATAAAGACATAGTTATCAAACCGGCGGATAAGGGAGGGGGGATAGTTATTCTTTCCAAAGCACAATACCAAGAAGAATCAGAGAGAATTCTCTCCGATGAGAGAACGTATAAAAAACTCAAATCGGATCCAACTGGCAAAGTAAAGGGAATATTTGAAGAATATATACAAAAAGGTATAGATAAAGGGATACTAACAAAAAAAGAAGGAGAATATCTTTCCATCCCCCACCCAAAAATACCAGTGTTCTACTATCTTCCCAAAGTTCACAAAGATCAAAAAAATCCCCCGGGACGCCCGATCATATCCAGAATAGACTCCATTTCTTGTAGAGTCTCGGAATACATCGATTTACTACTACAACCAATAGTAGTGAAAAATCCAGCATACTTAAAAGATACTATGCACATACTACAACTTTTGGGAACCACTAAATGGGAAGATAATCACCTATTGGTGACAAGCGATGTCACGTCACTGTACAGCATAATTCCGCATGAAGTAGGTTTGGAGGCAGTGAAACATTTTTTAACTGTAGCTCATTTTGACATTGAACAAAGAGATTTTATATTAGAAGGCATTCGCATTATTTTAACCAATAATTTTTTCTGGTTTCAAGGTACATTTTATCTCCAGATCAGGGGCACAGCGATGGGCACCAAATTCGCACCCAGTTATGCCAATTTGTTTATGGCGTATTGGGAGGAGACCCATGTTTTTTCAGAGCATCCCTGGGTGTCGAATTTGGTGTCCTATCGACGATATATAGACGATATTTTTTTCATTTGGAACGGCTCATGTAATCTTTTAGAAATGTTTTTAGCCTTTTTATCATCTAACGAATGGGGAATCGTTCTTACCACCATACAGAGTTCATCCAGCATTAATTTTTTAGACCTTCAAGTTTTTATTGAAGATCAGCAAATTAAAACCAAAAATTTTTTTAAGCCAGTGGACGCCAACGGGTATATAGAAAAAAAAGAGTTGCCATCACAAACCTTGGCTAGAAAATGCCCCAAAGGGCCAGTTCCTACGAATTCGGCGGAACTGTACGAACGAACAAGATTTTATCATTCAAGCGAACATCATCAAGAAACAATTTCTGGAAAAGGGCTACGAAGAGACTAAATTGACTAAAGCTATGAAAGAAATTCAAGACACCCCGAGAGAACAATTATTAACCTATAAATCACATCAGAAAAAAAATTTAAACAATAACGAAGCCCACTTTATATGTAACTTTAATGGGAATAATAAAAAAATAAATAGAGTCATAAACAAACATTGGTATATACTACAAAAAGATCCTATTCTAAGAAGCTTGTTACCAACAAAACCTAAAATTATCTATAGAGGTGCTGCCAATCTAAAAAGATCTCTAGTCCACAGCAGTGAGGGCCCATTGAAAAATGCGTCACACTTTTTGAATCAGAGCAAAGGCTTTTTCGGGTGTGGTACATGCTTAGCATGTAGAACAACAAAAAATCCTAAACGACACGTAAGAAATTTAAATGAACAAACAGAGATCGATTTTATTTTGAAAGACCAATTAACATGTTTCTCAAAAGGAGTCATCTATTTATTAAAGTGTCCCTGTAATTTATTGTATATAGGCAGGACTATTAGAACTTTAAATGTCCGCATATCCGAACATGTTCGAAATATTAAAAAAGGTTTGGAAACCCATAGCGTTTCTAGTCACTTTAAAACCCACCATAACTGCAATCCAGAACACCTCTTCTTTTGTCCACTAAAAATAGTTAAAAAAGATTGGAGAGGAGGAGATTATAACAAAAAAATAGGCTCTGAAGAGATGAAATTTATTTTTAATTTCAATACCTTAATTCCCCATGGTCTTAATTCAGATTTTGAGATCTGTCATTTTATTTAACTTTTAAATTTGGGTCTTAATTCTTCTTTTTACCTATCGGTATTATCACTTATCTTGTGATTTTATATCTTCACATGTTATTTGTTTGCACTATAAGAGTTGGCACTTTAAATACCTACACTAGATGTGGATGTATATTGAACAATTGATTGATTTTAATAGTTATTAATTATTTTTGGCTTTTCTTTTTTTTCCCCTTCCTCTCTCTGTTATGTCACTTCACTAATTGTGTGAGATATGGACTCTCCATTTTTGAAGACTTTTTCAATTTGCACAATGGAGAATAATATGTTTTCACTAGCTTTATATTATTAATGGGAAAAAAATGGACTGATTTACAGTGGAACGCATGGATCTGACACCATGCGTTCCAGTGATGTCATTAGTGTGTGCCAAGATCGCAAAGCGGAACCGGAAGTGACACGCATGGAACCGGCGGTGGAACGCAGAATGCGTTCCACACGGAGAAAATCCGGAAGAAGAAGAAATTGTGGACGTATAAAGGCGCCGAAAGGCTCACACTCACAAATACTGACTGACACCAACTGAGGAAGCCCTTGTCACAGGGCGAAACGCGTTTTGGAGAGACACAGTCTACAGGTTCAACTTTGTTTTGGACCATTTCGTTTAGTTTTTATTTTATTGCACAATATTATTTGGAAAGTTTTTTTTCCTTTTATAATAAAGTCACCAACTTTTGGATTAACCTATTGGAATAGTGCAATTCTTCCATCATCACCTTCCTAACCCTGAAAGATAAACACCAAGAAGGATGGGGACATCCTATTAAGAGTCCCACTGCGCTGCACATAAGAGCCATATGTCAGACTGGCTCTAGGCTTGTGAGTAATATTGCTCTGCTGCTGTATACTTTATTTTATTTCATACAGTCTACACTATGATGTTTTGTTCCTTTTTTTTTTAGAACCTACAGAAGTGTGTTCCACCTATTGTATGTATATTTTGTATTTCTTGTAAGTGGTAGAAGGGGTTTCCACTTAGGTGGTTTGTAGCGGTTTAGCTACCACATTCTTTTCTCTTACTGTATATCTATTTCTTTGCACTTTATATTGTAATTAAATCCCCTTGGATATACAGTAGAGGATTCCAATCCTTCTTCAATACTGATCAGCATATTGCTATACCATAACTATCTTTCTAAGTATGTCTTATTTGGAAGACAGAAATTATACAATCAAGGATATAGACCTTATGTTTGCCCCTATGGCGGACACCAATAGTGAAAAAAGCTATGTAAATGCAGATAAAAGTAGAAACAATTTAGAAAAAAGCTTGATACGCGAAATGAAAATTAAATGGGAGATAGCCACTCTTAAAAAATACGTTAAAGAACAAATCACACCGAGGGGACTCAGATTTGAGAAAGACCCAACATTTGATAGAGATGACTCTTGTTTTATGACAGGGTGGAACAAGCTCCTGGAAGGATTTTCCTTCAGTATGATAGGATACATTGTATCCAGACGAGAAGAAAATTTAATACATCTAAATGAGGAAATCATGTCCTGGAAACAACAGCTTAGTGAGACAACTAACCCTGAAACATTTAATCAGATAATAAGAGACATTAAAATTAAAGTAGAAAAAGTAGAAAAAGATACTATTGAAATAAAAAAAAGGAAATACCAAAGAGACATTAACGATTATAAGACTGGCAATATAAGATTTCCTAAAAGATCCCATTCTAACAAACAGAACTATAGAAAGAACCAATGGCGAACTCAGGAAGAAGTGAGTTCATCATATAATAATCACAATACTCACTATAGAAATGAGTCAGAATCATACTCCCATAGAGATGTACAAAGAAGGAACATGTATAGGAATAGAGAACCACTCCAGGCCACATATAGACATCCCCATAACAGACGAGATCACCAAAATAGAAGCTATAGTGATGTAGTGAAACAGGGTTTAGACCCACACGATGAGAGATCCCCACATGGAAGTAGCCTCAGAATAAGGAGAATGCCCTCACAGAAACAAGGAGAAACAAGAGAATATGAAAGAAAAAAGAGACATTCTCCTGAACGAACACAAAGCTACAGAGATACAGGTACTATAGAAAACCACCATCAGAATCCTCGTTCCAAATTTGATCCAATTAGGGAACAAAGAAGGAACGGGAAAAAATACAGACATCATGAGGATACAACGAGACTCACACAAATTAAGGAAAGAATGCCAGAAGAGCCTCAAACAGCACAAGCATCTTCGCCCTCGGTTTTTTGGAGGGGACCAATTCAGGAGAGACTCAAATGGCGAGAGAACCCCCCATCATGGGAATCCCCAGGCAAACGCCAAAGATCAACAGATTACGAAACAGAAGAGGAAGAAATAAGAAACAAAGAAAAAAGGGGGAAGATGTAAATTCAGATGGAATTTTTAACCTTACAGACCATGTTTTAACAAAAGAGGAATTAAAAATACTGAAAAAAGGTCTAAAATTTGCACCGACACAGGAATTAAACAGATTTGATCTATTTATAGATATGAATAGATTTGTAAGGAAACTATGCTTAAAAAAGTTTTTTCATAATGGGGAAAATAGGATGCAAATAGAACAAGATCAGGAGAATGAATCTAATTTTATACATACAGAATTAAAAGAAAGGTCCAAATTTTTTCCTAAACACATGATTTTGAATGAAATGAGAGCTTTTGAAACCACGGTTATGGCAGAAATAAATAATATAAAAAAATTAAACAAATATCAAGATAATATGTCAGTAAAAGAACGATATACCTTAAAACAAATTCAAAAAAATAAAGACATAGTTATCAAACCGGCGGATAAGGGAGGGGGGATAGTTATTCTTTCCAAAGCACAATACCAAGAAGAATCAGAGAGAATTCTCTCCGATGAGAGAACGTATAAAAAACTCAAATCGGATCCAACTGGCAAAGTAAAGGGAATATTTGAAGAATATATACAAAAAGGTATAGATAAAGGGATACTAACAAAAAAAGAAGGAGAATATCTTTCCATCCCCCACCCAAAAATACCAGTGTTCTACTATCTTCCCAAAGTTCACAAAGATCAAAAAAATCCCCCGGGACGCCCGATCATATCCGGAATAGACTCCATTTCTTGTAGAGTCTCGGAATACATCGATTTACTACTACAACCAATAGTAGTGAAAAATCCAGCATACTTAAAAGATACTATGCACATACTACAACTTTTGGGAACCACGAAATGGGAAGATAATCACCTATTGGTGACAAGCGATGTCACGTCACTGTACAGCATAATTCCGCATGAAGTAGGTTTGGAGGCAGTGAAACATTTTTTAACTGTAGCTCATTTTGACATTGAACAAAGAGATTTTATATTAGAAGGCATTCGCATTATTTTAACCAATAATTTTTTCTGGTTTCAAGGTACATTTTATCTCCAGATCAGGGGCACAGCGATGGGCACCAAATTCGCACCCAGTTATGCCAATTTGTTTATGGCGTATTGGGAGGAGACCCATGTTTTTTCAGAGCATCCCTGGGTGTCGAATTTGGTGTCCTATCGACGATATATAGACGATATTTTTTTCATTTGGAACGGCTCATGTTATCTTTTAGAAATGTTTTTAGCCTTTTTATCATCTAACGAATGGGGAATCGTTCTTACCACCATACAGAGTTCATCCAGCATTAATTTTTTAGACCTTCAAGTTTTTATTGAAGACCAGCAAATTAAAACCAAGAATTTTTTTAAGCCAGTGGACGCCAACGGTTATATAGAAAAAAAGAGTTGCCATCACAAACCTTGGCTAGAAAATGCCCCAAAGGGCCAGTTCCTACGAATTCGGCGGAACTGTACGAACGAACAAGATTTTATCATTCAAGCGAACATCATCAAGAAACAATTTCTGGAAAAGGGCTACGAAGAGACTAAATTGACTAAAGCTATGAAAGAAATTCAAGACACCCCGAGAGAACAATTATTATCCTATAAATCACATCAGAAAAAAAATTTAAACAATAACGAAGCCCACTTTATATGTAATTTTAATGGGAATAATAAAAAAATAAATAGAGTCATAAACAAACATTGGTATATACTACAAAAAGATCCTATTCTAAGAAGCTTGTTACCAACAAAACCTAAAATTATCTATAGAGGTGCTGCCAATCTAAAAAGATCTCTAGTCCACAGCAGTGAGGGCCCATTGAAAAATGCGTCACACTTTTTGAATCAGAGAAAAGGCTTTTTCGGGTGTGGTACATGCTTAGCATGTAGAACAACAAAAAATCCTAAACGACACGTAAGAAATTTAAACGAACAAACAGAGATCGATTTTATTTTGAAAGACCAATTAACATGTTTCTCAAAAGGAGTCATCTATTTATTAAAGTGTCCCTGTAATTTATTGTATATAGGCAGGACTATTAGAACTTTAAATGTCCGCATATCCGAACATGTTCGAAATATTAAAAAAGGTTTGGAAACCCATAGCGTTTCTAGTCACTTTAAAACCCACCATAACTGCAATCCAGAACACCTCTTCTTTTGTCCACTAAAAATAGTTAAAAAAGATTGGAGAGGAGGAGATTATAACAAAAAAAATAGGCTCTGAAGAGATGAAATTTATTTTTAATTTCAATACCTTAATTCCCCATGGTCTTAATTCAGATTTTGAGATCTGTCATTTTATTTAACTTTTAAATTTGGGTCTTAATTCTTCTTTTTACCTATCGGTATTATCACTTATCTTGTGATTTTATATCTTCACATGTTATTTGTTTGCACTATAAGAGTTGGCACTTTAAATACCTACACTAGATGTGGATGTATATTGAACAATTGATTGATTTTAATAGTTATTAATTTTGTTTGGCTTTTATTTTTTTTATTTTTTTCCCTTACTCTCTCTGTTATGTCACCTCACTAATTGTGTGAGATATGGACTCTCCATTTTTGAAGACTTTTTCAATTTGCACAATGGAGAATAATATGTTTTCACTAGCTTTATATTATTAATGGGAAAAAAATGGACTGATTTACAGTGGAACGCATGGATCTGACACCATGCGTTCCAGTGATGTCATTAGTGTGTGCCAAGATCGCAAAGCGGAACCGGAAGTGACACGCACTGAACCGGCGGTGGAACGCAGAATGCGTTCCACACGGAGAAAATCCGGAAGAAGAAGAAATTGTGGACGTATAAAGGCGCCGAAAGGCTCACACTCACAAACACTGACTGACACCAACTGAGGAAGCCCTTGTCACAGGGCGAAACGCGTTTTGGAGAGACACAGTCTACAGGTTCAACTCTGTTTTGGACCATTTCGTTTAGTTTTTATTTTATTGCACAATATTATTTGGAAAGTTTTTTTTCCTTTTATAATAAAGTCACCAACTTTTGGATTAACATATTGGAATAGTGCAATTCTTCCATCATCACCTTCCTAACCCTGAAGGATAAACACCAAGAAGGATGGGGACATCCTATTAAGAGTCCCACTGCGCTGCACATAAGAGCCATATGTCAGACTGGCTCTAGGCTTGTGAGTAACATTGCTCTGCTGCTGTATACTTTATTTTATTTCATACAGTCTACACTATGATGTTTTGTTCTTTTTTTTAGAACCTACAGAAGTGTGTTCCACCTATTGTATGTATATTTTGTATTTCTTGTAAGTGGTAGAAGGGGTTTCCACTTAGGTGGTTTGTAGCGGTTTAGCTACCACATTCTTTTCTCTTACTGTATATCTATTTCTTTGCACTTTATATTGTAATTAAATCCCCTTGGATATACAGTAGAGGATTCCAATCCTTCTTCAATACTGATCAGCATATTGCTATACCATAACTATCTTTCTAAGTATGTCTTATTTGGAAGACAGAAATTATACAATCAAGGATATAGACCTTATGTTTGCCCCTATGGCGGACACCAATAGTGAAAAAAGCTATGTAAATGCAGATAAAAGTAGAAACAATTTAGAAAAAAGCTTGATACGCGAAATGAAAATTAAATGGGAGATAGCCACTCTTAAAAAATACGTTAAAGAACAAATCACACCGAGGGGACTCAGATTTGAGAAAGACCCAACATTTGATAGAGATGACTCTTGTTTTATGACAGGGTGGAACAAGCTCCTGGAAGGATTTTCCTTCAGTATGATAGGATACATTGTATCCAGACGAGAAGAAAATTTAATACATCTAAATGAGGAAATCATGTCCTGGAAACAACAGCTTAGTGAGACAACTAACCCTGAAACATTTAATCAGATAATAAGAGACATTAAAATTAAAGTAGAAAAAGTAGAAAAAGATACTATTGAAATAAAAAAAAGGAAATACCAAAGAGACATTAACGATTATAAGACTGGCAATATAAGATTTCCTAAAAGATCCCATTCTAACAAACAGAACTATAGAAAGAACCAATGGCGAACTCAGGAAGAAGTGAGTTCATCATATAATAATCACAATACTCACTATAGAAATGAGTCAGAATCATACTCCCATAGAGATGTACAAAGAAGGAACATGTATAGGAATAGAGAACCACTCCAGGCCACATATAGACATCCCCATAACAGACGAGATCACCAAAATAGAAGCTATAGTGATGTAGTGAAACAGGGTTTAGACCCACACGATGAGAGATCCCCACATGGAAGTAGCCTCAGAATAAGGAGAATGCCCTCACAGAAACAAGGAGAAACAAGAGAATATGAAAGAAAAAAGAGACATTCTCCTGAACGAACACAAAGCTACAGAGATACAGGTACTATAGAAAACCACCATCAGAATCCTCGTTCCAAATTTGATCCAATTAGGGAACAAAGAAGGAACGGGAAAAAATACAGACATCATGAGGATACAACGAGACTCACACAAATTAAGGAAAGAATGCCAGAAGAGCCTCAAACAGCACAAGCATCTTCGCCCTCGGTTTTTTGGAGGGGACCAATTCAGGAGAGACTCAAATGGCGAGAGAACCCCCCATCATGGGAATCCCCAGGCAAACGCCAAAGATCAACAGATTACGAAACAGAAGAGGAAGAAATAAGAAACAAAGAAAAAAGGGGGAAGATGTAAATTCAGATGGAATTTTTAACCTTACAGACCATGTTTTAACAAAAGAGGAATTAAAAATACTGAAAAAAGGTCTAAAATTTGCACCGACACAGGAATTAAACAGATTTGATCTATTTATAGATATGAATAGATTTGTAAGGAAACTATGCTTAAAAAAGTTTTTTCATAATGGGGAAAATAGGATGCAAATAGAACAAGATCAGGAGAATGAATCTAATTTTATACATACAGAATTAAAAGAAAGGTCCAATTTTTTTCCTAAACACATGATTTCGAATGAAATGAGAGCTTTTGAAACCATGGTTATGGCAGAAATAAATAACATAAAAAAATTAAACAAATATCAAGATAATATGTCAGTAAAAGAACGATATACCTTAAAACAAATTCAAAAAAATAAAGACATAGTTATCAAACCGGCGGATAAGGGAGGGGGGATAGTTATTCTTTCCAAAGCACAATACCAAGAAGAATCAGAGAGAATTCTCTCCGATGAGAGAACGTATAAAAAACTCAAATCGGATCCAACTGGCAAAGTAAAGGGAATATTTGAAGAATATATACAAAAAGGTATAGATAAAGGGATACTAACAAAAAAAGAAGGAGAATATCTTTCCATCCCCCACCCAAAAATACCAGTGTTCTACTATCTTCCCAAAGTTCACAAAGATCAAAAAAATCCCCCGGGACGCCCGATCATATCCGGAATAGACTCCATTTCTTGTAGAGTCTCGGAATACATCGATTTACTACTACAACCAATAGTAGTGAAAAATCCAGCATACTTAAAAGATACTATGCACATACTACAACTTTTGGGAACCACGAAATGGGAAGATAATCACCTATTGGTGACAAGCGATGTCACGTCACTGTACAGCATAATTCCGCATGAAGTAGGTTTGGAGGCAGTGAAACATTTTTTAACTGTAGCTCATTTTGACATTGAACAAAGAGATTTTATATTAGAAGGCATTCGCATTATTTTAACCAATAATTTTTTCTGGTTTCAAGGTACATTTTATCTCCAGATCAGGGGCACAGCGATGGGCACCAAATTCGCACCCAGTTATGCCAATTTGTTTATGGCGTATTGGGAGGAGACCCATGTTTTTTCAGAGCATCCCTGGGTGTCGAATTTGGTGTCCTATCGACGATATATAGACGATATTTTTTTCATTTGGAACGGCTCATGTTATCTTTTAGAAATGTTTTTAGCCTTTTTATCATCTAACGAATGGGGAATCGTTCTTACCACCATACAGAGTTCATCCAGCATTAATTTTTTAGACCTTCAAGTTTTTATTGAAGACCAGCAAATTAAAACCAAGAATTTTTTTAAGCCAGTGGACGCCAACGGTTATATAGAAAAAAAGAGTTGCCATCACAAACCTTGGCTAGAAAATGCCCCAAAGGGCCAGTTCCTACGAATTCGGCGGAACTGTACGAACGAACAAGATTTTATCATTCAAGCGAACATCATCAAGAAACAATTTCTGGAAAAGGGCTACGAAGAGACTAAATTGACTAAAGCTATGAAAGAAATTCAAGACACCCCGAGAGAACAATTATTATCCTATAAATCACATCAGAAAAAAAATTTAAACAATAACGAAGCCCACTTTATATGTAATTTTAATGGGAATAATAAAAAAATAAATAGAGTCATAAACAAACATTGGTATATACTACAAAAAGATCCTATTCTAAGAAGCTTGTTACCAACAAAACCTAAAATTATCTATAGAGGTGCTGCCAATCTAAAAAGATCTCTAGTCCACAGCAGTGAGGGCCCATTGAAAAATGCGTCACACTTTTTGAATCAGAGAAAAGGCTTTTTCGGGTGTGGTACATGCTTAGCATGTAGAACAACAAAAAATCCTAAACGACACGTAAGAAATTTAAACGAACAAACAGAGATCGATTTTATTTTGAAAGACCAATTAACATGTTTCTCAAAAGGAGTCATCTATTTATTAAAGTGTCCCTGTAATTTATTGTATATAGGCAGGACTATTAGAACTTTAAATGTCCGCATATCCGAACATGTTCGAAATATTAAAAAAGGTTTGGAAACCCATAGCGTTTCTAGTCACTTTAAAACCCACCATAACTGCAATCCAGAACACCTCTTCTTTTGTCCACTAAAAATAGTTAAAAAAGATTGGAGAGGAGGAGATTATAACAAAAAAATAGGCTCTGAAGAGATGAAATTTATTTTTAATTTCAATACCTTAATTCCCCATGGTCTTAATTCAGATTTTGAGATCTGTCATTTTATTTAACTTTTAAATTTGGGTCTTAATTCTTCTTTTTACCTATCGGTATTATCACTTATCTTGTGATTTTATATCTTCACATGTTATTTGTTTGCACTATAAGAGTTGGCACTTTAAATACCTACACTAGATGTGGATGTATATTGAACAATTGATTGATTTTAATAGTTATTAATTTTGTTTGGCTTTTATTTTTTTTATTTTTTTCCCTTACTCTCTCTGTTATGTCACCTCACTAATTGTGTGAGATATGGACTCTCCATTTTTGAAGACTTTTTCAATTTGCACAATGGAGAATAATATGTTTTCACTAGCTTTATATTATTAATGGGAAAAAAATGGACTGATTTACAGTGGAACGCATGGATCTGACACCATGCGTTCCAGTGATGTCATTAGTGTGTGCCAAGATCGCAAAGCGGAACCGGAAGTGACACGCACTGAACCGGCGGTGGAACGCAGAATGCGTTCCACACGGAGAAAATCCGGAAGAAGAAGAAATTGTGGACGTATAAAGGCGCCGAAAGGCTCACACTCACAAACACTGACTGACACCAACTGAGGAAGCCCTTGTCACAGGGCGAAACGCGTTTTGGAGAGACACAGTCTACAGGTTCAACTCTGTTTTGGACCATTTCGTTTAGTTTTTATTTTATTGCACAATATTATTTGGAAAGTTTTTTTTCCTTTTATAATAAAGTCACCAACTTTTGGATTAACATATTGGAATAGTGCAATTCTTCCATCATCACCTTCCTAACCCTGAAGGATAAACACCAAGAAGGATGGGGACATCCTATTAAGAGTCCCACTGCGCTGCACATAAGAGCCATATGTCAGACTGGCTCTAGGCTTGTGAGTAACATTGCTCTGCTGCTGTATACTTTATTTTATTTCATACAGTCTACACTATGATGTTTTGTTCTTTTTTTTAGAACCTACAGAAGTGTGTTCCACCTATTGTATGTATATTTTGTATTTCTTGTAAGTGGTAGAAGGGGTTTCCACTTAGGTGGTTTGTAGCGGTTTAGCTACCACATTCTTTTCTCTTACTGTATATCTATTTCTTTGCACTTTATATTGTAATTAAATCCCCTTGGATATACAGTAGAGGATTCCAATCCTTCTTCAATACTGATCAGCATATTGCTATACCATAACTATCTTTCTAAGTATGTCTTATTTGGAAGACAGAAATTATACAATCAAGGATATAGACCTTATGTTTGCCCCTATGGCGGACACCAATAGTGAAAAAAGCTATGTAAATGCAGATAAAAGTAGAAACAATTTAGAAAAAAGCTTGATACGCGAAATGAAAATTAAATGGGAGATAGCCACTCTTAAAAAATACGTTAAAGAACAAATCACACCGAGGGGACTCAGATTTGAGAAAGACCCAACATTTGATAGAGATGACTCTTGTTTTATGACAGGGTGGAACAAGCTCCTGGAAGGATTTTCCTTCAGTATGATAGGATACATTGTATCCAGACGAGAAGAAAATTTAATACATCTAAATGAGGAAATCATGTCCTGGAAACAACAGCTTAGTGAGACAACTAACCCTGAAACATTTAATCAGATAATAAGAGACATTAAAATTAAAGTAGAAAAAGTAGAAAAAGATACTATTGAAATAAAAAAAAGGAAATACCAAAGAGACATTAACGATTATAAGACTGGCAATATAAGATTTCCTAAAAGATCCCATTCTAACAAACAGAACTATAGAAAGAACCAATGGCGAACTCAGGAAGAAGTGAGTTCATCATATAATAATCACAATACTCACTATAGAAATGAGTCAGAATCATACTCCCATAGAGATGTACAAAGAAGGAACATGTATAGGAATAGAGAACCACTCCAGGCCACATATAGACATCCCCATAACAGACGAGATCACCAAAATAGAAGCTATAGTGATGTAGTGAAACAGGGTTTAGACCCACACGATGAGAGATCCCCACATGGAAGTAGCCTCAGAATAAGGAGAATGCCCTCACAGAAACAAGGAGAAACAAGAGAATATGAAAGAAAAAAGAGACATTCTCCTGAACGAACACAAAGCTACAGAGATACAGGTACTATAGAAAACCACCATCAGAATCCTCGTTCCAAATTTGATCCAATTAGGGAACAAAGAAGGAACGGGAAAAAATACAGACATCATGAGGATACAACGAGACTCACACAAATTAAGGAAAGAATGCCAGAAGAGCCTCAAACAGCACAAGCATCTTCGCCCTCGGTTTTTTGGAGGGGACCAATTCAGGAGAGACTCAAATGGCGAGAGAACCCCCCATCATGGGAATCCCCGGGCAAACGCCAAAGATCAACAGATTACGAAACAGAAGAGGAAGAAATAAGAAACAAAGAAAAAAGGGGGAAGATGTAAATTCAGATGGAATTTTTAACCTTACAGACCATGTTTTAACAAAAGAGGAATTAAAAATACTGAAAAAAGGTCTAAAATTTGCACCGACACAGGAATTAAACAGATTTGATCTATTTATAGATATGAATAGATTTGTAAGGAAACTATGCTTAAAAAAGTTTTTTCATAATGGGGAAAATAGGATGCAAATAGAACAAGATCAGGAGAATGAATCTAATTTTATACATACAGAATTAAAAGAAAGGTCCAAATTTTTTCCTAAACACATGATTTCGAATGAAATGAGAGCTTTTGAAACCACGGTTATGGCAGAAATAAAT